GACGACTACGCCCTTCCTGATGGGAGGACCCATGTGAATGACACGTGGTTTGTTTATGCGTCTTGGTGTATAGGCGTGTAACTGCTGCTGCTGCCGCCGCCGCCGCCGTAGTGGCATTGCGCGCGCTCATGGCTTCCTCCGCGATCAATGAACCATGCAGACGATGCGCGGCTAGCCAGCAGCCAACGCCTCCCGTCGCCGTCTGGCTCTACCGCGTGCCAGGCTCATCTCCGCACGGCAAACTTGTTTGACCACCCAACACTGTACTGAACTATCCGCACAAACTGCGTGATGCGTGTAAACTGTTCACTAGGGGGTTAAAAAAAATATATATATAAAATAATTTTTACACAACAGTGCTCCCCGAAGACTTATATAATATCACATTTTAGCGTTAAGAAAAATAAAATGCGTGGATTACATATTTTTTTTTTTCTATTCAGTTGGAGCCGGTATAGAGAGATTAATGATACAAAATAACGACGGGGCTGGAGAAGATGAGTCTTTAGATTTCATGGGAAACCAGCACAGCGATCATTTGCCTAGCGAAACAGTCAAACAGATGTACAACGCGTCTGCTGAAGAAATCAGGTAACATCACAACCACAACATCAGGATCACTCTGTATACTGCTGGAATGTATTAAATTAGCAGGACCGTCCGGGGGGGGGGTAGGTGCGTGTGTTCTAACCACCTGGCTTTTTTTCACCGAGGGTTGCGGTTATTCTTGGAAATAGACGTACGCGAGATTGCAGCTGTCCCGCCCCTCGAGTTAAAAACAAACACTGCTTTTCGATTCTGTATCCTCTTGTGCTACATCATGTTCATAAAACTACGTAGTTCGAGCTAATAGAACATGAATTAATTTCATAATTTTCTAAGCGTATTAGGTGTTTTCTTCTATTAGCCGAGAAGTCGGGACGTTTTGAAGTAATCGTACGTGAAGAATAATCAGGGGGGTCTCTGTAGTGGTGATCTAAAATTAAAATATCCTATTCGTGCCAACTGGCTACAGTTATTGCCAGACAGTCAAATATACTATACCTTTATAATGGGCTAAAATAAAATCGCAGAATTTTGCCGGTTGCCAATGGCCGAGACCCGCTGTTGGATGAGAAATTTTGCTAATTAAAAAAAATTTGAAATTACCACTTGTTGTCAATACATATTAAAAAATAAACTTTTTTATAATATTTTTTACGTTGTTTTGGAAATTGTACGATTTATTCGATCAGTGTTAGTGGAGTTGGTAAATCGCGTATAAAAAAAAAAAAAAATTATCACGATTATATTGTATACTCTATAGTACAGGCAAAATGTATTTTGAATTAATATTCCTAGATTTTCAGATAGTTTACGATGTTGACAACAGTTTTGAAACCGTCTAAATCAATGCTTTTAACCATGCATATTGTTGATTACGTGCTTATCATTTTAATGACGAAATTTATATTATCTATATTATTGGTATCACACGATTGTGAACTAGTCACGGCAGTGTAGCGACAAAAAGTCCACCTTGAGAACCATTTTAATTGTTTTGTTCCTTATAATTATTGTATTAATAAATATTAAATTTGTACACATTTTCAAGCCGCAATGCCTATATTATTTATTTAAAATATCTAGGGACAAAATATACATGAACAATTAAAAATGGGACATAATTTACTGCGACCCGTGTGTTTGTCATGTAGTACCTCGTTTCTAACTGCTCGATGTGTGCCTGGCCATCCTATAAATAGCCAGACACATCAACTCTTACTTCCTGTCTGGTGCTATTGCCGCTTTGTTGCTTTGCATATTTAACGTCCGCTACATTACGATTTTAAACAATAAAAATTTAAAAAAAAATATATTACTTCAGTTTATTTTTATTATAGTTTTAATTTAATTAAATATTAGAAAGAAAAAAATGCTTTTATATAATTAACCATAGGTTTTTGAAACATAATAATTTTCTTTAAAAAAATATTATGTTTTAGATAATATTATCTATTCAGTACATAGAATTAAATTAAAAGTAGGTAGGTATTTTATTTGAGTAATAAATGTATAGTATACTTTATACTTGGCCAATATAAAATATAAATATCCCTACCCATATAACACTTAATTTTTATTTAAGTCAGAATCAATTATTTCATTTTTTTTTTTTTTTTTTTGTAATGTTTTGAATGAACTTCATCAGTTTGATAAAAATAATAGTATTTATTTAGTTAAGAAGCATAAGTACAAAACGAAATCTAAAAACAATATAACTATTTAATATAATATTACTAGCTAAATTATCCGGCTTCGCTCGTGAAAATAAATGCTCATCTTTATATTAGATTAGTTTACAATCTCGGTTACTGTAGACAAATAATATATATATATATATATAATCGCCTTTTTACTTCTCATTTTAATTCAGACTTATGACTGGCAGCACGTTTATTTTGATGTTATGGTTAAAAACCTTTTTGGTCTTTTTGCTTTTTATTTAATTATCCTGTGGTGGTCCAATTGGTGGACAGTTTTATCATAAAACCCAGGTGAATGTGTTTGTTTTTTGCCGCGCTGTGCCGTTAGGTTTTGAAAAATAAAAAATTATAAATAAATTACTCAAGTGAATTAAAGAATTGAAATTAAGTCTAAAACTTGATTTATAATGTTTCTCTTTCATAAAAAAAAAAAAAAAAGAGGTAATCGGGTGAGTAGTTCCAGAGAACATGCGTGAAAAAGATTCTATTTTCACATTTCTATACATTTCAGTACATATCTTAGTAATAATGTTTATCGAACCAGTATTATTATGTAGTGTGAACGTTTATTGCTGATGATGCAGGTGCATTATAGTTATAAAGAATGAACAAAAAAAATTAAATACTTAATTTGACCAGTGTGTCAGTAGTTTGCATCATCTGGCATGTAAATTAAGTAGGTCAAAACGTCATGCCATTACAGCTAAACAGAAATAAAATGTCTGCAAAGACTGTAATGAACTTATTTTTCCTTTTAAAAATAACTATTGTTTAAATTGGCGTCTTCTTGACGGTCTCAAAAATATGAATTTTTAGGCATTTGGTGTGAATGCGTATGTAGTTAAGTATAAAAAGTTATTAAATTGTTTGTATTATATTAATCTATGCTTAACTGTATGAATCTAAAAATTAAATTTTATATGGCCATTTAACACAACATCTTGAAAAAAAAATTTAAAAAATATCATTGGTAAAATTATCCTATAAATTAAACTGGCTAATTCATTGATCTTTAAATCAATAACTGGTTGTTTTACAATCCGGATATTGGTTTATATTTATTGTTTGACATTACTAGTTCTAAATATTTTTCGAAGCTGATAGTGAGTGTTTTTTAAAAATTTCGACTACTCTCCGCCTTATCAATTGTTTACAGACCTTAATTTAATTTATGTATTTACTTAAGTTTGGCGGTATGTATTTGCTTAATTTATCAATGAAAATCCAAACAGTTTTATTTGTTATATTTTATAAAATTCCTCTTGTTATAAATGGTTGAAAATTTGGTTTCTATACAAATTTTGTTTATTTTAAAATATCTGTTTTTTCTTTTGTTATAATTGTAAATATTTATATTGTTGAAAATTGTTTTTAAAAATATTCAACAAAAATTTATATTTTATAAAATTATGTAACGATTACTTCTATATAAACATAAAGGATTGTTTTGAAATCGCTGGATACCATTTCTTTTGAAATATTTTGTTTCATTATCGAAATGAAAATTTTATGTAATCATAAAAGTTATCCATGTGATTAATTCTAAATTTTACTTTTGAATGTTTATTCAACGCAGCTTAAAAAAATATTTTTATTTTGTTAGTTTTTTATGGATTATATTCTAATCTTGTGTTTAGTTACATATTTTGGTTTTACCTCGATCAGTTTATTCTCCCTCCAAGCGTTATAGGTAGTTTATTCAAATTGTGATTGTTAAAATAATATGTTAAATATCTTAGACTCGTTTGTTCAAAAAACATGAAAAACATTTTACGACGTGGTCTTAAAACAATATAATTCCACTTGGTGTTTATTTGATTAAACGTTAATTTTCCTTATATGCACTACGCCGAATGCGTTTTTAATCCGTGTAGAGAAATGCGTGAGGGTCGAACTTTGGTCGTATGCCAAAACGAAAGATGCCACTGCCGCCGCTGCAGATTCAATGTCGCTTTATGCAAAAATCACAGTGTGCACATGGATGGTAATAGTTTCGGTGTACTTTTAATTAAGAACCAATTACTACGGTCAAGATAAAGGGTGGAAATCGTGTGCCGTTAAAGGAGAGAATGAAAATATAAATAAATATTTAAAAAATAAATGAATGAAAACTTCGCGCGGGCGTTGTTGTCTTTACGCCGGTTTTACTATGTGTTCCATGCGACTCGCGAGCGTGATGTACGCAATAACAACAATACGAGCATGAAAGAGAGTCCGTGTGTCGGCGCGCGCATGCGAATGTAATAATTGACGTGGGCGGACGAGGAAAATACGACGACGACGCTTGAGAAGAACGCCGCCGCGCAGACGCGCTCGTCCCTTTCGCTTGGGCGGCGGCGGTGCGCTCTTCACGGTCGCGTGCCAATAATCGATCCCCGCGCGCGCGCGACGGTGAAAGCACGTTCGGCGACCGCGGCCGCCCCTATTTTTTCCGGGCGTTTTCGCACGCACGCCGTTTATCATTGACCGCCAGCTGAACAGGACGGTCGTCCCTCGTCCCGCTGATACGCTACTGCGTGTGCGTGGTCCGTGTGTTTATTTTGACGGGGACGGTGCCGGTCGTCCGAGCGCTCACGCTATCGTCCCAATCTACGTTGGCGGCACTGCGATCGCATCGGATAACCGCCCGTTGGTCCCACTGGACGGGTCCCCGTTTATTTTTATTTTATTTTTCGTATCCGCCGCCGGGCGCACGCACTCGCACACGGTCTTTTTCTCTCTCACTCGTTCTCTGTCACTGTCTCTCTCCAACTCACTCCCTCGCTCCCTCGTACGCGTACGGTTTTGTACACATACGTTCACGTGAGCGCGCGCATTCCACTGCGAGTGTGTGCGCGTTGTTGGTCGCTTTCTCATTTCTCTTTCTGGCGGTACGCTTCGCCGCCGCTGGCCTTCGTCGTCCACACGAACCACCACCGCCATCGCGTCGTAGTACGTTTTAGTTCTCCGTTCGTACCGTGTGTGCGTGTGTTGTCGTGCGCGGGCGCGCGAGTGTGTTTTTTTTCCTCGTTTTTCTTTGCGTGAGCGGTGTGCGCGCGCAAAACATCTCACGTCCGTGGTGCACGCGTGTTTTCTTATTTTTATTTTCTCACCGAAAATACGTGTCGCGAGTGCTTGCTCATCATCATACGAGATTCGTGCGCACAGTGCCTGCGATCTGTTCACGGTTATCCCATTTATTATTTATAATTTTTTTTCTCGTTTCAAATCGTTTTCCGTCCGTTAACAATGATTTCCCTGTCGAAATCAACAGCACCAACAATATCAACGGTGAACAACGACGACTGCAGTAACCGCACGATAACATGTTGTGAGGTAAGAAAGACGTTCTAAATCAACGCATTACGGATCGTGTTTCCCGCGTTTTTCTTCGCCCCACTCCCGACTCCCGTTCGCGCTTCAATGTCCACAACAACGCTATATTTCTACTACATCCGTTCCCGGCGCTTATCGATTTTCCATGCACTACTGTTTCCCCATGTTTCTGGTCGTTTACGTCGCCGTTCGGAGTATTGCGTGCGGTGCATCATGACTCTTCTACGCAGTAGTAACTACTCGGCCCGCCGACAATGAACCCGCTCGTTTGTTGTGACGGTGCGCGCCGTAGCCAGTAACAAACGGCGGCGGCGCTCCTGACCCCTTCTAAAACGCGCCTCATCGTTACTTCTCATGAATGAACCGTTTGTACGCGGTGCGTGCGTGCGTGTGTGCATGCGTGCCACACACGTTTTAACAGCCGTGGAGGGGGCCCGCTAGAACACATGTGTTTCACGCTGCAGACGGATTTGACCTTTTCGTCGCTCGTCGCCACTGTTAAGGGGAAAAAATTATACGACCGTCGGTGTGTGTTGGTGTTCGGCGCGGTGCGAGAACCGGATGGAAAATTTTTTGAATACCCTGACTACCGCCGCCGGAAACAATGTTGGCGGCTCTCGCGTTTTTTTTTCTATTACCAACGGTGCACTGCCGCTGCGCAGATGGTCGGTGACCACACGCTGTACTCGCGACGCATTCCAATGGCGTTCGAAAAATAAAAGCACCAACACCACGTGGACCGTCCCATCGTGCACGCCTTAATGGCGCCAACGGAAAATCGATTTTTTTCTTGGCAACCCCCCCCCGAGACGTGCTTGTAGTATGTGTGTGCTTCTCTTTAAAACTTCTGAACAGGTCCTGTTGATCTAAAGAATATTTCTCTAACGAGTTTCCCAGCAATGTGTTTTTTTTTTTCGAGTAACGGTTAAAGCTGCGTCTGGTTGTTGACCACGTTGAAAGCTCGTGTACTACGGCGCGCGGTTAGTGTACTATTGTTATTAGTGGGTCGGATCACTGTAGCGGGTGGTTTACGCGCTGATGTAGTAGTGGTACGATGGGAGGGAGAAAAATAACTATCGATCGCGCGGTCATTACGTGTGCCAGTGTCATCTTGCCGGTAGTTGCGTACACTTTCAGCACTCTATACTTTATTATTATTGTCGTACTGTATCATTTATTGACCTTTAAAATGCTGGATAATAAGTAATTCTTTAGCCTTGTTTCTATGCGTCATCCCTCCAACATGATTTAACTCGTGCAGGTCGTGCCGTAGTTTTCGTTGTGAAAAACTAGGGGTCAATTTTTAATTTTTTTTTTTTTTATGTCAATTAGTTGTCTCGTTTTACGCCCGACGATGAAATAAAAATATAAAAACGAACGTTGTATTTTATGGCCGAAAACATTTTGATGCTTCCGTCTACGTTTCGATGGATTGCTGGGTGGTGGTGGCGTTGGCGCGGTTGTAAACATCGATTTGCGCGTAGCCAAATTTAATCGCATGATGACAGCGTGTATATGTGCGCTGTTTGCAAATTTGAACTTGAAAAACGCGGCGGCACCGTGTTTTGTTGTGTGCGCCGCGTACACGGTCGTCGTGTAAGAGACGTGCGCGCGAGTAGTTGTGGTGGTGTACTCGGCGCGCGCGCGCACAAGCCGAATACTATCGTCGTGGTCGTGTCCACCTTTCGGTTTCATTTCGCCGACGAAACGTTGTGCGTTGCACGTCGCCCGCGCACGCACACGTTTCGCACCTATATATTTTTATTGGAGTAGGGAGCGGGGAGGAAAGTAAATATTCGAAAGCACGTGCACGCACGGTGCCGTTAATAAATATCGTCGGCGTGTCGCGTTTTCTCGGACGATGACTTGAAAATTATGGTTAATAATAATTATTATTATTATTAACCATAATTTTATTACGCTTCAATGGTATCTGTTCAATTTAGAACCGTTGACCTTGAACTGGGCCGTTGGCGGTTCACCGTCGTCCTCTAATGCCCTTTCCTCCCCCCCTCGGGGGAGTTTCATGGCGGCGGCGTCGACGAGGTGCTGTCCTTTTGTCGGTGTAATTCGGTTCAAACGAGCACGGCGTAGTGCACTCTCACACTCCCGTGTCTCTTACCCGGTGTCCCTCTTATGGGTTGGTAGTCCTGTTCGTGTGTGCTGCGTGCGTTTCGTGAGAGACGAACGGCGGGAACGCATCGACGATGCCGCCGCCACTACTACCGCACACACATTTTATCTCAACCCCTATTTCTACGTATTATTATTATTATTATGTTTAGAACGCCCACCACACCCTAAAAATATTAACGTCGTCGCCGTGACGTTGTATTACTATATTTCATTTTCCTCTTTCGTTCGTAGTTTCTCCTCTCCTTCGCTTCCGATGGTACCTCCAAAATATATGCATAACACACACTATACAGGGTGTTTATTTCGTAAATCGTTCAATAGTTATTATAAACCTAGTTTCGACTTTTCTATAGAATATTTTGCTATATTGACGAATTTTCCATAAAAGTTTATTCTAAAATTTTGTAGTTTAAAAAGGATTGCTATTTTTTTTTTTTTTTATTATTATATTTAATTATTCGACTGGTTTGCGAAAAGAATATATGCTTATATTTTATGTGGTGTTCGTGAAAATAATGTGTACAAAGTAGTTATATTCTGCACACGGCCAATGATAATTACTTTATAATATCGTGTTTTTAATCTTCACGCACTTAGTATTGGTAATGTTAACCGATAATCCATAGGTTATTATTCAAATTGGTGGATATCGTTTTCTAATAGGAATTTTCCCCTTACATACATGAGTACATGACCCATAATGTATACTTTATTATGTCGACCGATAACCAAGCATCATTTTACGGTTGGACCATTAACGTCGATTGCCGGTTAAAATTAAGCACAAACGAAGAAATTAAAGTTTATATTTCCGTCTCTATTGATTCAGTCGTTTAAATATATTAGTTTTGAACTTGATTTTTTTCATTATTGTATTTTACACTATTTGTGCAGTTGCTTTATTTATCAAAAAGAAAAATATTAAGATTTTCTTTTTGCCGAAAGTCGAGCTAAAAGTGGTTTAATATTTTTATTTTTTTCATCGACTTATAATGATTATTTTTAGATTTTTTAGTTGTTGACTTAATTGTTTGATAATTTATTAGTTTTCAGTATTGTATTACATTCCGTTTGTTTCTACAATAATAATCGTTTAAATATAAGTTAAGTAAATACATTTCTATTTTAAAAACTATAAAAATTAATTAAATAAAAAAATGTATAAGCATAATCGCATTATTGAAGAAATTAATACTATAACATGTTTATATACCACTATAAGTTATCATATTATTCGTTTTAACATACAAATTCAGTCATTTTTCCAATATTTAAATAGTATTTAAAAACAATTTATCTAATATGTCGTTGTTTTATTTACATGTTACTAAATATAATGAATACGAAAACAGCATTTGTAAGATTTGATTTGTTTGGTTTTATTTCGCTTATTATTTTATCATAGATATCATGAATCTTATATCTTTAATTCTCTAATATTTTTATAGTTAAACTATAATTTACTTTTGCATTACAAGTTTTTATAACATTAATTTTCTCGTGTTTGATTATAAAATGGTCAAAATATCATGATAAATTTTTTTTTGTGTAATTCCACGGATACCATGGTTTTAATGTTTTAATGAGTTTTAACAACTAATCTTACCTTTGAATTTTTTTTTTTTTTTTTAGTTAAATAGTTATTTTTATTCTATGATCAAATATAGTTACTAATTTAATTTCTTTATTATGATTTATTATAACTCAAATTGAGAAACAATTCATTAAACAAACATTTTTTTATACTGAATATTTTTTATCTTTTTAACCAAATGTTTTTGTTTTTATAATAGTATAATGTTTGTAAAAAAACATTTTTGTTATCTGTTAATATTTATACTTTAATAAAAAAAAAAAATTTAAAGTTCTTCCCTCGGCCTTTAATATGAGTATATGAGATAATAATAAAGATATTTTAATAATGACTAATTCTTTGAATGACTCACTAGTAAATAATATCTTATGATTTCTGATGGTTGTTTCTTTAACTTATTCTAATCCTTATTCAAATTGTAATTTATTGTTCACAGGAATACCACTCCAAAGTATATATCATGCTGTATGAAATTTGTGATAAAGGATCATTTAGAAATGATTCCAGATATACTATCTGTGATAGACAAAATGACAAAAGACGAAGGTATATATATTTTAAATTAAAACATATTTTATTTTGATTATAAATTAATAAAAAAAAAATTTCATTTCAGACAAGCTAATGCGATTCGATACTGTCAGTACCGTTGGTTATTTATGCACAGTTTTTCACCAACACGACAACCTAAGATCCTACATACATTCATTTTTACTCCCAGCTATTATCAAAGCATTATCTGATCCAGCAGAACAGGTATATTCACTTAGATTACCTTATTAGTAAGTTTATAATTAATAATTGTTTTAAAATAGGTAGTAATGCGCTCTCAGATGGTTCTCACTTACATAATTAGTAAAGGTGTAATTAACAACAAGACTGTTGAAGAAATTGTTTGTCCAGCACTAATATTAGCTGCCAATTCCACAGATGATCTCCATGTACAAAATAATATTGTCACGGTAAATAATTAAAATATTTTTTTTAATTACCTATACATATTTACATACTTATACATATTATCTATACATTCACAATTTAATTTTGTTAGTTTATGAATTTAATGATTAGATATTAATTAAAATACTATAATCGTTGCCTGTTGAAAGACATGGGTAGTGAGATGCAATATTTTTAAAAGTTGTCTCACTATCTTGTCTTTCATGTTGCATCGGTTTAAATCAACAGCAAATTTATTTGCTTTGGAGTCGATCTGTTGCCGTCAAAGCGGGCTGTCGTAGAGTGCTCATATTATTTGACTATCACAGCCAGCTTTGATGAGCACCGGATCGATATTGGTCAACAGTTCTTTCTGCGCAAAGCCCAACTTTGGCCCGTCAAAATGGATGTGAAGTGTGTTTTTTTTACTGTTCATATCACAGCCACTTTGATGAGCCTATGTTTGTGGTACATTCAACTAATAACCATCCTAGCTTAGTTATTTATAGTGTATGGTTGTAAAACTTATTTATTTAACATTGACCTCAAGACTGTAAACATTTCTTATTGAAATTAATATTTTGGAAGAAAGCATTTTTTTTTTTTTTATTGTTAATAAATATAAACATTTTAGTATGAACTTGTAAATTCTATGATTACATAATTTTTTTTGTGATTATATTTAATATAATTAATATTTATTCTTCTCATTTTTTTTTTTTTTTCTAGTAATGTAATTCTTTGTTATACAATGGATTTTTTGTATAATTAAACCTGAGCTTGTTGAAATCAATTAATAATTCTGATGTTTATTCTTTATTATTTTTATTTGTTATGATTTAAATCCTTAAAAACACTAATTATTGTTTTTATTCTTTAAAATTAATATTAATATTTAATTCCAGAATGATTTAATATGAAGGCGTCCAAATGGTCAAATCGGATGTGACGTGTTGGTATTTATAATCATATCACAGCCGTTTTTGACAATTTTGGCGGCTATCATGATCTTCAGTTAAACTTATTATTGGCTTGAGATGCTCACAAAGTAACTGTGAAATGTTGAATATATTTAAATTCATATCACAGCCAGCTTTGATGAGCGTTACGAGTTGAGTTTTCATCATGGAGCAGCCATCATATCACTGATAACTGAGGAATTGTGGTTCTCGTCAAAGTGGTTGTGACACGTTCAGGTTTTCATTTTAAATTCAATTAATATCGTATCACAGCCAGCTTTGTATGAGCGCTGCAATTTCTACATTCGTTATTTGATAATTTTAAAAATAAATATTTTTGATTGTTATTATGTTTATTAAGTTAATGTTTTTGAGCTTTTTTTTTATGCAATCATATTTATTGTTTTTTTTTTTTGTTTTTTTATTTTTTATTTTTTTTTTTTTTTAACAGTTAGTAGGAAAAATTGTTCTTAAAGTATGCAACAATGTGTTATGCAAGACTGTGTTGCCATTCTTAATCAACAAAAGTCATAGTGATTGTATATATGTCAGACTGGCTGCATTATTGAGTTTTCCTGAACTTGGTCATGCATTGAACATAGAACACAAAACCAAAGTATTAGTAAGTTATTTTTTATCTAGTGATTGTTCTTATATATAATTTTTTTTCTGTTTCTTTTCTAATTTCAATTTTTTTTAGTTACCTCGTTATGTAGAGATGTGTAATGATCGTGTTGGTACTATTCGAAAAACATGTGCTGACATTATTGCTCCACTATCGGCTTGTTGTAATGATGCCCTTAGACGAGAATCAATAACTGATGCAGCTGGACGATTACTTAGTGACAGTTGCAAGTTTGTACGGCAAACAGCTTTAGAAAACTTAGGTCCATTGATTACTACATATGCAACTCCTGCTGTTACATCATTGGTCACTACTCGTACATATATTCTTATGATGGTTAGCAATTTTACCGACGATTTACATTATATAACGTAAGTTCCATATTATATTATAATCTTCAGTATATTTTATGCATAGCTTCCTATGTATAGAATATTCCCCATCTGGTTTTCAGTACATGAAAACATTACTATTAGTAAATTTTTAATTTGAATATGATGATAAAACCCCATGGTCCGTGTTTCATCTGAAACATTGTGATGGTTATCTATCCAAATTATCTGATTCAACTACTTGTTGTTCAGAACCACTTCAAATATGGATCATGCTTCAGGTATGTATTTGCCATGCATGGAGTGGTTGGGTGATCATCTTAGTTATATTTAATTAATTTCAAGATAATTTATGTGAGTGTACAATAATTATTAATTATCTAACTTTTACAACTTCCTAGTTATTTAATCTTCTTACATTACAGTATTTCTTGTTCAGATTTTTTGTTTAATTGTGCACTGTTTTAATTCATGCTACCATTTATAAATATTTCCAACTGTGTTGACAAATATATTTTCTAATTTGTTATTCATTATTAAATACAGTATGGGCTTGTTATACATATATTTATTTATATATGTAATTACTGATTCAAACTTATGAATATTAAGCACGTTTTATAGATTTTATTTATTGTTTTTGGGTTATTTTTAAAATAATGCTGATTACTTACATTATATACAACCATTTAAATTAATTTTAGGTATTTCATTATATTTTGTGAATGATGGCCATATAATATTAAGGTATGTTTAAATTATGGTATAAAAGCAAGAAAATATTATTTAGTAAATTGGTACGGTGATTTTTTTTTTGGGGTTATAAGAAAAGAAAGATAAATTGTTCTATGTCTATTTTATCTGTTAACCTTTGAACAGACCATTTATTCTGTATTTTTTGGTGTATGTTATCAATTAATTTATATACTTGCTTTTACATTATATTGTAAACACACTTTAAGAATTAATTATTATAATTTTTTATTTGCTTAAATCCAATTTTTAATTCTTAATATGTTACCAATGTGCCTAGTATGTTCACATTAGTATTTTCTAAAATTTTTGTTATGTTTTCTAACTTAAAATATATTTTTAGAATGAAATGTCAAACAAGTCAAGAATATTTTAAAGCTACAGAATTATTAATGGACCGAGAAAAACCATGGTCAAATGAAACAACTATGAAAAATGATAATAAGTAATATATAATTGAAATTGATAAAACCAAATTTTTATATTCTTGTAACTAGTCTATTTTAGCCTATTTGCTTGTCTCAATACCTTAATTACCTAGGTTATGTGAGTTTTCTAGTAGGCTTATATAGGTATATATAGTAAATCAATATTATTCACAGTTAATTTTTGTTAATTTAGTTTAAATTGAAGAAATCATATTGTTACATTTAAAATATGATAAAACTTAATAAAATGGCACAAGTGTAACTTTATATTTAAATAATCATGGTTATTAGTTTTTATAAACTTTGTATTTATTAAAACTTATCTATTTTAGCCTACTTGCTTGTCTCGGTACCTTGACAATTTGGTAGTGCGAGTTTTCTAGTAGGCTAATATTAAAAATAAATCGATATTATTCACAATTACTCTTGATCGATGAAAAGTGAATTGAAACCATATCGGTATACTTTTATAAAGCTTAATGAATATCTTTTGTTTTAAATTGTAATTATCTCTATTAATTAATGTTTTTTTTTTATTATATTTATACAGATTTTGGGTTGCTGATTATAATGTAAAGACTGAATCAGAAGAATTATACAGTACATTTGCGTATTGGAGGGAACCTATCTGTGATACAAAATCGTCTTTTAGTTTTGAAGTAAGCTATTTTCCTATTTATTAAGTGTTTGTACCTAACTTGTTTTTTTTATGTATAGAATGATTGTGATGATAAGGAATCTGAAGTTGAAAGACTTCAAAGCATGATACCTAATAAGTTATGGTATGTGCCCATGAATAACAACTGTAAGTTGCATGTTAATTACTGCTAATATATGGTGCAATTTTTATATTTATTAAATAATTTATAGCTAATTTGAATTGCACTGACATGAAGAAATCTGAGTTTGAAGTGAAACCCATTGTAGAAGGTAATGGAGATTCAAAACCTTCAACAGCTGAACTCAACGACAATTATCTTGTTGTACCTGCATTACTGCTTGATAATTATGCTGACATGGCTGGTGCATTTGATGATAGTGACTTAGCATCTCAATGTGCATGTATGTTACCTGCAGTGCTTGTTACTATTGGCCCTGCTCACTGGCCATTGCTTAGGCATACTTACTATGTCTTAGCTTCCCACAGATCTGTATGTTACTAAATGTTTTGAAAATAGTTTAAGATCCTGACTTATAATTTAATTTTAATTTTTAGTGGAAAGTTAGAAGAAAGGCGGCTTCTTATATACATAAACTAGCAATTTACATTGGTGAAGAAGCTACATCCAGAGATCTTTTACCAATATTTGAATCCCTTGTATTGGATTTAGACGAAGTACGGTCTGGTGCCATAGATAATTTTGCTGCCTTTCTCAGGGTAAATTATTATCTATTTATTCGTTAATTTCAGTTCAATTTAAAAATTAATACGATAATCAATCTTATTAGTCTGTATTTCAACCGATATCCTAATGTTCATCATTAATCTAAATTATTTCTAATTTATTATTAAATACTGTTATGAAATATTAAACATTTATTTAATGTCATCCTCCTAGGGAAAATTTTCATTAAATTTCATTAAAAATTATAAATATTATTAAATAGATGCATTATATAATTATTATTTTTTATCAACTGTTGAAAAAATTCATTTTTTAACATTTATGTAAGAATCAAATATACAGTCGAGTCGCAATAACTTGAAAAACTTGGCAACTCGAATTTCTTCCCCTATAAATTAGTTAGGTATCTTAAATAATACATATCTCAAAGTGAATTTTTATCCCCCTTCAACTTCGAGTTATTGCAACTCGACTGTATTACTAAAATTGATAAACCTATTTCATTTCCCATTTGAATCCTTAGTGATGATAATGAATATTGCAGTATTTTAATGAGAAAAATAATGAAATGTTTTTTATATGATAAATGGTACATTGCATATGATAGTTATGTAAGTTAACTGATTTTCTTAGTTTCTGTAGTAAAGAGTTAACACTTTCCTATCAATTTTTTAGGTAAATTAATCTCTTATAAACATTTTTTATAATAATTAACAAAACAGTTGATTTATATGATATGTAAATAGAACTAGTTTTATTTTATAAATAATATTAATGTTATGAAAAACTTGAGGTCTGTTACATTTGACATCCTAGGGATGAAAATTTACCTATACTATTTCTGAGTGAATTTTTTTTTTTAAAATACTCTCATCCATATAAATTGATTTGAAAGTTAATTAATATTTATTATTACAAAATATATTTATTTATTTATTTAATGTTAACAGGCTAAGCTTTTTTTTAAAAGTATGCATTTGTACATTATTTAATATTTTAAATGATATTATAAGATATAAGAATATAATAATAATATAAGAAAGTATTACATTATACATATAATTAATAATAATAATAATATTATAAAGATGATGAAAAACTAAAGGTCCGTGTTTCATCTGATACCCTAGTGATGAAAATTTACCTATAC